AAGAGCAACAATATTATCGATGACCTGTTGTTGAAACATCCCCAATGTATTTCTGCCATTTAGATAGAAACACACCAAAAACAACTAGAGCAAGCAGCTTCTTTCTGAAAAACCCCTCAGATCTCAGGCTCCCAACACAGCAGCGCTGTCAATCTATACCTACGCTCTTTACAATCACCATGTGAGTTGAAGATTATCACAAACCATAATCTGACCAACCACGAATATGTGTTAGTGGGAAAACAGATTACCGAAACAACAAATGCGCGTGCTAAACAGGATGCGAAGTTAAGGACGTTGCATATAGAGCGCGTCTTTGGCTTTCGAGAAAAGCGCTCTAAAAATCTAAATGTATTATTATTATACTCATTTAATTACTAGGCCTAATTAAAATGAACCCTGATCTGGATCACTCGCCGGTGTTTCACTACAGTGTGCTTGACAATGCACAGTCTTTTGTGTGGCGCGCGAACCAAAGACTGCCAATGAGCAGGTGAATGAGCTGAATGAAAGAACGTGGGACTAGAAGAAATAAACATCAAGTTTATGCGTACGACAGTCCTGAACAAAAGACGTGTGTTAAGATTATGAGGACATTCACCGTATAAATTCCTTTCACGAACCCAATACTCTCATTCTTATCCATTACGAAAATATGAACAACACAGGACCAGGTATTCAAGAACAGGACCCTGCCACGGAGAGGTGTGGAAGCGTTTTTTTAAGAGCGCCCAAGTGGAGTGGGGTAGCGCTGTATTATGATCAGGACACCGGGTCTGGTAGAACGACTTCATGTCTCACTATCTCACAGTGCAACCAACAAAGAGAATCCAAGAAACCCAGAGGCACAACGTTGTCACCGGCGACCCTGTTGTCCCACGTCACCAGATACGCTGCTTTAACAACTAGTGTCCTACTTCTAATCAGCTGCTGCACCGTTTATGCGTGTACTATACCAACTATACGATTCGAGGCAAATATAGGCAAAGTCAGCCGCAGATATTAGTATATTATTACTGCAAAGGAGTGACCGTTCGTACAACATGTGACCGGTTGGGAAGTGAGAACGTGTTGTGTTACACAGATTATGGCAGTGGGCAGGGAATGTTTTCCCTGTATCGGTTCCTGTGACAGCGGGCGCCAGCCAGTCTGTTGGAGAAGGAGCGTCCTGTCTGTACCAGGTGGGAACTGGCGGATGTGTCAATCTGTCTGTTCAGCTGCCCAGGTGGACGAGAGTGGGCGTGGGTTACTGATGGAACCCAGAATAAAGTTTTTTGTTGGCTTACACGCAGCTTCATCGTCTAGTGGAAATGTTTGTCATTCATGCATGGTTGGATAGTTTCACCATTGAATTTGTTCGTGTTTTGTATAACACGTTAGGTGTCTGAGGTGCCAAAGTTATGTGGCCCTAAAAAAATAGCGAACTGATTCATTTTGTATGGCATCCAGAGCTTTCCACATTTTAGGGGGCGATATGTTTTTTTGATTTAAAAATTACCATCAATGTCATAAGCAATGGTTTACATTAAAACCCTGCCTAATTGTAATCGTTTCCCCCTACCTTATACTTTGGTGTTCGCGGGCAAATTTGACCGTCCCTTGTTTAACTGCTATTACATTAACACAAAACCATGAATCATCACCAAATTTCATTCATTTCATCAACATTGTAGTTGAGTGGTCACCGCCTCAGCTCAAAACATACAAAAACAGCAAGAAGAATAGAAAGTTAAACCCATTGAATGATATGAGCAGTGAGACGACAAAGCTACAAACAACAATTGCCCCATTAGATACGGCGCCCAACAATCGTGTACCACGAAGTACACAGAGCTGACATATTTGTAGTTTCTTCGGCGTGTGTGCGTGGACTCGTTCGACTTTGTCTTGCGTTGACGGGCCGTATAGGCTCCATTCCCTTTCAGAATCCGTCAATCGGGCGCGATCCGAAACCAAAACCCTGTGTTTAAAAAAATATAAAATACAAATTTGCACTTTTGCCTCCTTAGCCAACGGGCAGTATCGTTTGGGTGGGCGATCTGAGTTCGGGTACCGTATCTGTGACGTGACAAAGGGTCGCCGTGACAACGTGGTGATGAGATGTGGATAACTTTCCAGATAAAGACCATCCTGATACTCGAGTTGTGGTTTTCAATAAGTGAAAAAGAAAATTCAAAGTAACTCACTACCATTTTAATATCTCAAGCATTTGTCCCCAAAAGCTTTCAAATGTAGTAGCAAAACCAGTGATCCAGATCAGGATCATTTTAATTAGGCCCTATAATTAAATGATATAAATAATAATACATTTTATTTTTAGAGCGCTTTTCTGAAACCCAAAGACGCTTTTATATGCAAGCCTACCTCCAAAGCGTTATACTTCGGAAGTTAAACAAATTAGATAAGGCAGTGGATGGCAAAGTACCAGATTTCCACACATGAATATGCTTAAAATAGGTTATGGTGTTCCTATCACTGACAATGAAATCATGTAGTATTTCAACTGTAATTTCTAAAAAGTCAAATGCATTTGGTGGAGGTTTTCATCTTATTTCTAATAGAAACATATTAAATATGACTCAAATGGAGCATATAAACAAGAGAACAAACGTGCAAAAACAAAACTGGTGTTCAAATAACAGATTTTATTTTTATGCATTATCCCGGAGAATTCTTCGGCTGCCAGGAATGAGCCCACTCCTTGCCACTGAAAAGAGAATGGAATAATGTTACCGTAATTTTCGGACTATAAGCCGCGCCTTTTTTCCCATTTTTCGACGCTGCGGCTTATATAACGGTGCGGCTAATCTATGGATTTTTACAGCTAACGGCCACCACCTTTAACTCTACGGGCTCTATGGCCGGTCCGCGGACCCCAAACTTTAAGCGGCGGGCTCCAGCAGGAAAAGCTGGAGTCCGGAAAAGAGTGAGACAGGTAGCGCGCAAAAGTAAAAGTGGAACCGAGAGTGGTACGAGAGACAGAACGAGAGCAAGACAGACAGACGTTACGAGAGCGAGACAGTTTGTGCAAAGGTGTTAAACGTGCGCTGGGAGCGCACCGTTTAAGTTTGAAAGTTGAAAAGTTTGTGTGTCTGAAACGCTATGTGATACAGTACAGTTTACACAGCACAGTACATGTTCTGTAGCTACTATTGCACTAAATGCTAACACTTGAATACGTTATGCAAATATGCAACTTGTTTGTTGAAATGTTAATAAATGGGAGTTTCCTCAAACAGCCATCTCTTTCCCGACAATCCCCTCTGTGCACGAACCCTTACATATGGTAATTAAACATTAAAACACCTGCGGCTTATAGTCCAGTGCGGCTTATATATGTACACATCATTCAATTTAGCTGCTGCGGCTTATATTCAGGTGCGCCTTATAGTCCGAAAATTACGGTATTTATTTTGTGGACATATCAAACCCCTTAATGCTCACTCTGTTGTTATTTACTCCAGGTCGTCCCTCCCAAGATGATTGACGGCTTGCTCCAGATATGCCTCTCAGGAACTTTTGAGAAACTAGAGGTCGCAGTCAGGGTAGGGGGTCTCATTTATTGTTATTGTATCCTAACTGTTAACACTAAAAAAACAATATGTCATATCCTCACGTGTTTAATGTACATGGTCCCTGACAACTAAACAAATAATCTAAACTAATGTCTCCTCCGTCAGAACATGGTGGATGAAGGCTACGCAGCCACACAGATCCTGGGTCAGCTCCATGAGGCTGTCATAGAGCACGACCTGAGTGACAAGCAGAAGTCAGTCATAACAGACAAGATGGCGGTAAGTGATCTGATGGAGCTCCAGGTTAAGATTAAGACCTTTACTAATCCCAGCGGGGAAATTCAGTAAAGGCCCAAAATACACGCTCACATGCACAACAAAGACTGCAGACATGCGCTGATGGAGAGATCGCAGATCGAAGGGGCTGCCAGTGTTCTGGAAGAGGTTCGGTGCCTTGCTCATGGTCATCTCAGCAGTGCCCAGGAGCAAACACACCTCTCCAGCTACCCTTTGTTTCTTGTTCCGATCAGGACTTGAACCGTCAAACCTTCTTTTCCTAGCCAACTCCCTACAGACTCAGCTCAAAATGTCAAAACAAAATGTTTACTTAATATTTGGAGAACAAAAACAAAGCTATGATTGGAATGTCCGCATTTCACAATATGTGTCAGTGTGACTGATATTGAAACTTTCTATTTGTGCTTGTGTTCCCTTTTTTGTTCAGGTTGTGAGTAAGTGCCTGTCGGACGGTGCGGATGAGTACCTGCAGATGTTGAGTCTCTGTTCAGTCATCATGCAGCAGGCCTCCCAGCACAACTGAAGCATCACACAGCAGAACTGTGGTCCGCTCCCAGCAGGGCCAGCATGAGACAGCAGCACTTCACCCCCATTCAGCTCAGATCACAGCTGGGGAGGTCCAGCAGTAGATTCCACATGATAGTGGTGTCAGTTACTGTCAGAAAACACAGCTGACAATGTCTCCATCTGTGTCTTCCTCCACTTAAGATGATTACTCCAACGTGCTTAAAAAATCTGTTGCCATCAAATGTCTCTTTATTCATTTCCATGAATGTAACTACTGACCAACATATCTTTGCACACTTTTTGCATTTTTGGAAAGTAATAAACTACTTTTTGTATATTTTTAGTGATTGTATCATTGAAGTAAGTGCTCATAATGAGGACCAGTGGTGGAAGAAATACTCAAATAGTAGTAACAGTTAATTGCACAGTTAAGTAAGATTTGTGCGCAGGGTATTTCTTAAGTAAAAGTACAAAAGTATTAGCATACAAATATACTTGTATGAAAAGTACTACAAATTAAAGTATGGAAATAATATACATATTATTGCTGGTCTATAATTATATTGTGTATATCACTTTAATTTTACAGCTAGTAAAAGTGAAGCTAACGTTGCCTATTTCCATATTGCCAGATATCTTAATTTAGAATAGTGATTAGATTTATGTATTGATTATTTGAATCTGCAAAGTAACTTATATTGTCAAACAAATGTAAGTAAAAAGAACAATATTTCCCTCCAAAACGTAGTGAATTAGATGTGTAAATTAGCATTAAATGGATGTAGTCAAGTAAAGTACAAGTACCTCAAAATGTTACTTATGTACCAGTGTTGTAGTCAAATCACCAATTTTCGAGTCAGAGTCCAAGTCTGAGTCACCCAAGAAGACTGAGTCATCGTTACCTGTCCACGAGTCCGAGTCATTATGTATTAATTAACATGTGAGTGGATATATTTGTTTAAATGTAGCTGTTGGTTTGGTTCTTATCAATATTTTCTATCTACATTGCTTTTATCCTTTTATTTTCTGCATTGCTTTTATTCCTTCTATATATCTGGTTTGAAGCACTTTGGGCTGCAATTATTGTAAGAAAGGTGCTATACGAATATAAGGCTTATTATTATTAAAGTTGGGTCGAGTTCAAAGAGCTGTTTCACAAATAAAAACGGTCTACATCAAACACAATGACCCGCTGTCACCATTTCAGGTTTTCTTCAGTTTATTTAGTGGTTCCAACATTGATATTAACACTGACCTAACTAAACCATCACTGTACTGAATGACTTTAATTTGATTAGGGATGGGTCATAAACATAAATAAATGAGGGTAATCATTCTTCAGGATCAAATTCAACTTGTTTGTTTCATTTCTTCATATGCATTGTTGAGAACGTCAACATTCAAATAATGTTAGCAGTGGCACAGCATAGTGCAATTTTCAATTTGAAACTGAACTGTTACAGGCTTCCAACGGCACCCGAACGACCCGTTCATCTTTTCTTCCGTGATAAATAATAGCCCAGACAGCTGGTTACCGGCTCACAACGAGTCGCGTCAGAACTTTGGTTTAGGAGCCTAGATACCGATAGTAAAGAATGTAACAGAACTTTTGCTCATGAAAGATGATGTTGCCCCTGTCTCTTTTTCACTCGTCCTTTCACAGAGAGAGCATTTTGCCTCCTCTTTCTGTCAAAGCAAACTGCACGATGCGGGGGGGGTTGTGTCTGTATTTTTTGACCGAGAATAGCGGGGGCACACGGTAAGAGGACTCGCCTCAGGGCTGCACAAGCCTGGGGCTGAGTCCATCCGGACTTGAGACAAAACTTGTTTGAGTACAGGTCCAAGTCCGATCGTGAATGAGCGAGTCTGAGTAAGAGTCCGAGTCCATCACTGCGCGATAAGTGGTATTATTGCAAAGTGGAAACGTTTAGGAACCACAGCAACTCAGCCACGAAGTCGCAGACCATGTCAAGTTACAGAGCGGGATCGAGTGCTGAGGCGCATAGTGCGTAAAAGTGGCCAAAGCTCTGCTGACTCAAGAACTGCAGAATTCCAAATCAGGTCTGGCATTAATATATATACTAATATCAGCACCAAAACTGTGCGCCGGGAGCTTCATGGCATGGGTTTTCATGGCCGAGCAGCTGCATGCAAGCCTTACATCACCAAGAACAATGCCAAGCGTTGGATGGAGGGGTGTAAAGCACCACTGGACTCTGGAGCAGTGGAAACGTGTTCTGTGGAGTGACCAATCACGCTTCTCTATCTGGGTCTGTCTGGGTTTGAAAGATACCTGCCTGACTGCATTGTGCCAACTGTAAAGTTTGGTGGAGGAGGGATAATGCTATGGGATGTTTTTCCTTAGTTCNACCAGAATGCCGATTGCACTGGAAATGGGTGGGAAATAAAAAACTGGCCGGTTCCCTGGAGTGGCCGTGAAACCTTTCATCCTTAGCACCAACCAATGGATGAAGTGGATTTACCATTGCGGCTCCTTTGCATGTCAAATCCCCGAATTCCTGTCAGGTGATACGCGACGAGTAACAGTGTCATCACGGAACGAGATTTCATCGATTATTGACCTGCTGGCACGCACTGCATTGAGTTTCCTCAGATGGTCAGGGCTGGAGCGGTGAAGCAAGTAGAGTGGCGTGAGCGCCGCAGGTGGAGGCACCGCTAGTATAAAGGCCAAGACGACAAGCACCCCTCCTTTTTCTTGTCTAATGGGCCAAACCCATTTAAGGTGTATTCCCGTAATGAGACCTAGGTCCATACCTTTGGCCACAGGTTTTAACATTTGCTGGCGAGTGGGGGGAGCAAGGTCGGAGGAAGCCTCACTACAGCGTTCTCCATCATCTCCACCTGATTTGACTTGCCCCTCCTCCTCATGAAGTTCCAGGGCTGTTGAGAGAGGTGGCTTTTGGCTAAAATTCAAACATCCCTTGCCAAGTACAATTTGGATCCCTTTCTCCAAGGCACTTGAGAGAAAGACAAACAAAAACTGTTCCAGCTGGTCAAGAAGTGGGTGTGGGCCTCAATACACACTCCACACGGCGGGCATCATCTTTCTCCCATGTGGGAGGCATGAAGCAGTCAGGAAGATCAAGCAGCACTGGTGTGGAACTCAGACTACAGGGAAAAGCTAGCCTGTTTGGGATTGCTGACCACTCAAGGTTCGTCACACTCAGCTGCTATAGAAACGCTGCTGTTGGTGAGGATGTCTGACATTTACCAATCAAAGCAAGACTGCAGGTATTACCCACTAAGTACAATCTTGTCCACCTGCGTACCGTCACATTCACACTCCATTCTGTTAAACCACAGGATTTCACAACAACGCCTAGAAATCCATCTGCACCCATTAAGCAAATGCGAAGTAATTGCATACAAACGCCCTGCTTACGCCTGTACATTAGCCCATCATGCGCGTTTGTGGACATTGTTGTCTGATGCAGTACAACATCTTACCATTTAGCCCGGCAGCATTGTACGAACACGCTAAAGTTGTTACAAGAAATGGTTTGGTTGTTTACAAATGAATGTCTTTTTGTAACATCCCAAATTACACCTGATTGTTGTTTTGTTGACACCAACCACAGGGATGTTGCTAAATATTAGAAAGTAGGCTGGCCTTTGACCCTGTACATGGACCAGGGCTTTCCAGGACACAGTATATCAAATACCAACCACTGCTCGATGTGATACCAGCTTTGGGTAACAAGTGTTAGATATATGCATACTCATATTCGGAGTCTTGGTGCTGTATATAAATGCACTATTTGATTGGCTGAGGAATGCTGCGAACTTGTCAAAGAGAAAAGCAAACAAATTGCCAAATATTGCTCTGTTTTCAGCTATTATGGCAGCTTAGCTGTGGTGGAGAAGAGATGCTATGTGTTCCCTTGAAAAGCTGCGCTTAGCCGTGTGGAGAAAGGAAATGCTTATGTGGTTCCCCTAAGTGTTTCTTTGTGCTGCTAGCCCCGATATATATTGATTCCCTTCTTATGATAATATAATTTTTGTGGAACCAAATAAAAGTGTGTGTGTGTGTGTGTGTTGGTGTGTGGTGTGTGTGTGTGTGTGTGTGTGTGTGTGTGTGTGTGTGTGTGTTGGTGGTGTGTGTGTGTGTGTGTGTGTGTGTGTGTTGTGTGTGTGTGTGTGTGTGTGTGGTGTGTGTGTGGTGGTGTGTGTGTGTGTGTGGTGTGTGTGTGGTTGTGTGTGTGTGTGTTTGTGTGTGTCTTTGCCCAACCCTCAAAGTCTTTGAGAGGTTGGGGAAGATTAGTCACCACAAAGCAGAAACAAGAAATCACAAACTCGACCCTCTTCTCACTCCTTTCTTTGGTTAAAATACAGGTCCAGCCACACATATTGCGTCACATTTGTGACTTACAGGCATTGCCCTTACAACACATAAGCATGCACATGTTAATCACAAAGCTCCGTTCAATCCCACTAGCACCCCGGGAGTCCCACCTGCAAGACGCAGGCCATTCCTCATCAAGTTACTGTAGCGTCACCTTGGATACGAGTCCAAACAAACTCACAGACTTGCATTTGGGCGCTGAAATTGGCCGCCCTATGGACCAAACAGATCTTGACGACGGCTGATGGGCTGAAATTACGTTTCGGCGCAATAGTTTACAGATAGCCAACAGTCAGCAATTGTTGGGCTGGCTGCTGCACTGGCGAGGGCTCCTTTCTTAGCGGCCCAGACGATTGAGAGGGTAATGATACACGCTCGGCGGCCAGGCGCAGGAAAACATGGGACTTCTGCCTTTACAGAACATTTTTGCGAAAAATGGGTCTTTCTAAAGAGCTCACTGAATTCACCATGGTACTGGTAATTAGGATAGTGCGTAAGTGGGCAAAGCTCTGCTGACTGCAACCCCTTAGCTCCAGTGAAGCCGGTATTCTTAATGCTTCATCTTACCAAGTCATTTTGGACAATTCTATTAGGGGATTGCTCCGATTCAGGGTTTTTGGGGCCGATCACGGAATCAGTTATCGGCTTGATTACCGATCGCCAATCCGATCACTAGGCGTGGGTGGGCGGCTATGGGATCTTCCATTTAAAGTTGATGGTTTAAAACTCAGTTAAATGCGGGCTTATTTTTGTATATTGCTTCAGTTATAATCGTAATGGATGGAAAGTTCAGATTAATTTTCAATACATTGATGCGCTTTCCACAAACAGCAAACAACATAATAATTATTACATTCAATTGAATTACTGGTCAGCCTGTCAGTATCTTCATTCGCAGCTCACTGACCCACCCAGTTAATGAGCTGACCCGACAGTGAAGAATAAAACATATGCCAGAACCGGTTGAAGCAATTTTGGCG